AGGAAGACGGCTTCCGAAAGAGCAAAAAATGTCAGAAAAGCAGTCCCGTTCCCTGGACGCGGCGGTGTTTTTCTGGGATACCTCTGGTATCCCGTAAAAACTCCATAGTCTAGACATAGCCTGGAAGAGGAAAACCAGAGTTCCTGCTTCATCAGCTCCCAGTTGGTTCCTTAAGTCTGAATGAACTAACCTACTTGAATAAATTGAAATGAAGAAAATATTCCTGGCACCTGTAGAACAGGCTCCTGCTGTAAAAACCTAGTTTGGCCCTCCTGGTTGCAGGTGAATTCCAGCCATTCAGTGGTTGGCCTTTTTAAAAAAAATGAGCCAGCAGCCATCCTGCTTCATATTCACTGTATTTATTTCCAATGAAAGTTTAGCCCTCACCAGATATTTTGATAATTTCAAATAGGTTTAGTTTAAAAAAGAAAAAAAATACATTTAAATTAACCCCCCCAAATCCTTAATTTAATTTTTTAGACGTCGTCATTTCTTATTCACTGTAATTGCAGCTGAGTGCCACAGTGTAGAAATATACACGAAGCTGGGAATGGAGTTGTTGGAGGTAGAGAGGGGAAGATACCTTCATCCAGGAGTGATATTGTTTGTCTGCTCCATTTCACAGCCATGTCTGCGGGAGAGGAAAGCCCCAGGCATTCCGCGGAGGGAGAAGCTGCAAAGGACGATCTAGCCAAGAGCCTGGAAGCCGTGGGTCTGAGTGCAGAGTACTGGCTGCCTAAACTGCACACACAGCTGGGCGTTACCTCTGCCCAAGCCTTGAAACACCTGTGGTCTGAAGACTGCCTGAAGTTAGAACGTGACATACGACACGCGTGGGAAAAGCAGGCGCTCCAAGACCTGCTGAAGATAGACCCCAAGGCCACGATGCAGCAGCTGCAGGGGGAGCGCGTGGAGGGGCTGAGGAAGAGGCAGGAGCAGGCGAAGTCGGCGCTGCAGGAGCTCAAGGCGATGCAGGAGCAAGGCAGAAACCGCCAGGACGAGGTTGTAAGGAGGAAAGAGGAGGAGCTGCGGAGAGCGATGGACGTGGCCCCTGAGTATTGGGCACCGGCTGAGGTGCCATTGATGAAGGTGATGGAGAATGTGCACAAGCAATTAAATCTCTCCGAGGAGTTGATGTCCCAGAGTGAGACTCTCCCTGACAGGGAAGTTGTGAGACGGGCGTCGGGGGGGCTGGCCCTGCAGGGCATTTACAAAACCAACCAGCTTGCCGAGATGGTGGAGAAGCGCGAGCAGCTCCTGGAGCTCCCAGACGGGTTGGAGCTCTTTGGCCCACAGCAAGGGCCCTTGTTTGAGATGAAGGAGTTTTCATCAGCAACAGCAGAGTCCACATTCACACGGACCATGGAAAAGCTGGGCTTCAGCATGAGCCTCGCAGTCAAGGGTGGGTTTGGGGGGTTTAGTGCAGAAACCAGCACCGACTGCAGCAGCTCTTCAGAGTCCGAAAGCACCCACAGGTCCCGCTCTGAGCACACCTACCACTGCACCACCAAGTACAGCTACATCCCCCTGGCCTCCTGCTACTTCCCCAAGGACCGGCTCCGACTGTCCAGCGCCGCGCTGCAGGAGTTAAAAGAGATCGAGCAGCTTTTGAGTCTCACCCCAGAGCCCGACACGCTCCCCCTGCTGAAGAGCCGGGCTGGGAATTTCTTCAAGCGATTCGGGTCTCACGTGAACCAGGGCCCCCTCCACCTGGGTGGGATATTCTGGTGGAAAGCGGCGTCGCAGGGATTCCGGGCAGAGCAGCTGGATGAGGTGAAGAAACAAGCATCTGACGAGCTCCGCTCTTACATCGGGGGCAGCTACAGCGGCTTGGGCTGGGGGGTTGCAGCCGGTGTCACTGTATCCAACTCAGGTTCCAAAGCCTCCTTTCAGGGCACAGACAGAAAACAGGAGCAAACAGAGATTCAGCTGCGTGTGACCAAGACGGGCGGCCCCCCTGGAGTGGAGTCACTCGCAGCATGGAAATCTGGGCTGCTGGCCAGTAACAAGACCTGGTCTGTGATTGACAGAGGCTCTCAGCTGACTCCAGTGTGGGACATAATCCTGGCCAATCACAGACAAGATTTTAAAGACGTTTATCAAATGGGCAGCGGCCTCACAAAGGCCTATGAAGCCCTAACAAACCTAAGTGCCAGCCCATTGGCCGGGGAGGGAACCGTCAGTGCAGTGGAAGAGGCCAGATCCTTCCTAGAGGAGGTGAAGACCTGGGAAGTCACGGGAGAAGAGGGACAGCTGGTGACGCTGCTCAAGTTCAAAGAAAAGCTAATGGAAAAAACAAACCACAACAGCACCTGGATCGACATCTGCCTGTCGGACCGAGGGCTGCAGGATTTCTTGGCAAACACAGTTCTCCGGTGCAAAGATTTACCCGCGCAAAACTCTACATACACCAAGTTTCTGCTGCGCTCTCTTCTGAACCCTCACGTCTATAAGGTTAAGAACTTCCCCCAATCTTCGTCCATCATACAGTGGCTCTTTCATGCTGAAGAGAAGCCGGAAAAAGCTCCCCCTGTTTCTGAATTGGCTGATTTTATTCAAGTCCTTGAGGACATGAAGAATTCCATCGGGGCTGCCACGTCTCCAGAAGCATTGGAAGAACGGAAAGTTAAGGCCAGCTTGGATGTGTGCTTAGCTTTCTGCTCCTTGCGGAAGGCTCTGCAGAGCCGTGAGCAGACAGACGTGGAATTGTTATTGCTGTCCATTGCAGCCAGTGTAGGATACCAGGTAGAAAGTAACATGTTTCAGTATCTCCTCGGATGCCCAGAAATTAACTTCATGTCAAGTGAAATGCAAGGGGCACACGAGAGATATTTGACACTTAAACCGCAGAATCTTTCCCGAGCTCAGGCTTTCCTGCTGTTCACCGGCCTGACGGTGACGCCCAAATTCAAAGACGTGTCCCCAGAGGAGAAGACTAAACGTTTGACTTTTATGAAGCATCACCTGGGTCACCTGCTGTCAGGTGAGGTTATGAATGTCCTTATGAACTCTAATGCATGTGAAGACTGGAATGCCCTGGAAAGAAACCTAAATGCCCTCAAAGAAGGAGAGTATGAAACATTCAATAGCAATCCGCAGCAAGAGAATATAATTCAAGAACTATGGAATGTCTGTCAAAGGGCGAAGGAGACAACCCTACAGAAGCCACGGGCCCAAGTGCCACCAAGGGATGTTCAAATGTCTGAAGGATTCAGAACTCAAGACTTTCTCAATCTGATCAAACGACTGGGGCTTGAAAAGTATTATCCCAGGAGAATGGGGATGGCAGATTTCCACGTGATTAACAAGACCTCTTTGCATGACAGCCAGCCCCGCATGGAGAATGAGCTGCCATTTTATTTTTTGCAAAAGCTGTTGATGCTGGACTATCGGGTACGGTATCTGGTTTGCAAAGATGACTCTAAAACAAAACCCAGGATTACCAGAGCACTGGAGATGTCCAACAAGGTGGACGAATCTTCAGATGCAACTGTCGATGTCTACGAGGACTTTCTAAATGACGGTGAAGGAACTGATGAGTCTGTGACACCAAGTCGGACACACGTGCACCCAATGGACCTCCAGATGGCAATTTTCCATTGTGCGGATGATTTCATGAGACAGTACCTTTCCACAAAGCTTGCTCTCTGCCAGTTTGCACTCCCACTTCTGGTGCCAGATCCTTGTACTTCTCAAATTGAATTCCCCCTGTGGGCCCTGAGCCAAGTACAAAAGAACTGGCAAGAAGTCGAGAAGTCAGGATGGGAGACGAGCATTAAAAATTATAAAAACAAATTGATTTACCAAGCAGCTACACCGGTGGTGTCCTTCTTACGAATTGGTCGTTCGTCTCATTCTTCAAAGTCAAAAATTCTGAATACTTTGCTGAGTAAGCACAAGCACGACGTATTTTTCCATCGTGATTGTAGAGGTAGCAGTAAAGATGGTCTCCTGATGAACGGGGTTGTGGAAATCTTCTGGTACTGTCCTGGTGGGAAGGATGACGACAGATTTGACAGTTGCATCGCCTTCACTAATCTTCATGGGGATGCAAGAGAACACAAGCAACAAGTCAGATTTTTACAGGAGATTGCATCTATAAATGTGGTTCTCTTGACAACTTCTGATGACAGCACAATAGGGAAGCAAATTGTCAGTGATTGCCTGACATCACCAAAGCCTTTTGTGTGTCTTTTTACTGAAAAAGAAAACATTGTGGCGAGTAAATCCAATCGAAACATAAAAATCGCGGTGAAGAACAGGAGTGAAGCGGAATTCATTGATGAACTAGCAGCCACAATCAAAGATTTACTGGCTGATTCAATCCCCTCTGGTAGTCTTGAAACATGTGTAGAAGTTGCTCGCCAGCACGGTTTTCTCATTGATGAAGACAAAGAAGAGTGTAAGCAAGCCAAGTCAATGGCACTGAAAGTGATAGCCTTCTTCAAGGAGACTAGCTTATTGGGTATGAAGGAAAAGCTCTTGCCTCTGCAAGGAGAATTATGGCACAAGTGGTGTAAGAAAGATAAAGAACTTACCCGCTTGCAAGATAAAAAGAAGCGAAGCATTGAACAGCACCGGAGCCTTATTGAGTCAGAAAAACGGGCTATACGACACGATCAGGTAAGAAGAGCATCTTCCTTCAATGGTTTAATGAGGTCAGTCCTGGAAATTCTCCAGTCCCAGTCAGAGACCACGAAAAAGTATTTCCTGCAGTGGCTAAAAGTATTTATGGATGACTTGAGTTCTGACCGCCTTGCAGAACTTCGCCAGAAATACCACACGTTATGGTCCCAAATGCTGGAAGAAGCCCCTCCAGGAGAAAATAGTGACTCCGAAAACACACTGAAAAGTGACTTGGAACGAGTCTCAGCTGAGATAAATGCTTCTACGATTGGCCTGGAACACATTTTGAGAGAGGTTGCTCAGATTTACGAAGCCCTTGGGTCTTTGGCCCTAGAAGATCAACATTTTCTTGAACTTCCACAGATCGCAGCTGACCTAATGGCTTCTGGGTATCCCATTGAGCTGATGGACGGCGATGCGTCGTACGTGCCACTGAAATGGGTGAGAGCTGTTTTTGACAAGTTGACCGAGATGTTAGGAGACAAAAAGGTGTTTGTCCTTTCTGTGCTGGGCATCCAGAGCACTGGGAAGTCCACATTGCTGAACGCCATGTTTGGTCTCCAGTTTAGTGTCAGTGCGGGGAGATGCACCAGGGGGGCATTTATGCAACTAATTAAAGTGGATGAAAGTCTCCAACAGAGCCTGAATGTTGATTACATACTAGTCGTTGATACTGAAGGGCTTCGGGCCATGGAACTAGCCAGTAAATCAACACTCAATCATGATAACGAACTAGCCACCTTCGTCATTGGTCTGGGCAACATGACAGTGATCAATATCTTTGGCGAGAACCCTTCGGAAATGCACGATATCCTGCAGATCGCTGTCCAGGCGTTTCTGAGGATGAAGCAGGTCAAGCTGTCCCCAAGCTGCTTGTTTGTGCACCAGAATGTCGGTGAAATAACGGCAAAAGAACAGAATATGGAAGGACAAAGACGCCTCCAGCAGAAATTAGATGAAATGACCGTTACTGCAGCCCAGCAAGAGTTCTGTGATGTAAACCGCTTTAGTGACGTTATCCGATTTGATGTGAACACTCACATCCATTACTTTGCTCATCTCTGGGAAGGGGACCCACCAATGGCGCCTCCCAATCCCAGCTACAGCCAAAACGTGCAGGAACTAAAGAGCAAAATTCTCATGGCTGCCAAGCAGGAATCCCAGGGCAGTGTGTTAAAGCTGTCAGAGTTAAAAGTCCGAATTGCTGATCTGTGGAAAGCTTTATTAAACGAGAACTTTGTTTTCAGCTTCAAGAATACACTGGAGATTGCGACATACAACAAGTTAGAAACAATGTTTAATCAATGGACTTGGCAGTTGAGAAGTAACGTGCTAGAACTGCAGACAAAACTGAACAATCGGATTAAGAAGAGAGAAATTCACCAAGTAACCAGGAGAAGCCTTGAAGAAGAGGTGAAAGGGAAATATGATGGCATCCTTAATGAGACAGAAAGATACTTCACTGAGGATCAAGACTGTGAAATATTAATCCAGTGGAAAGCAAGTGTTGAAAACAAGCTGAGAGACCTGAAAGAGTCATTGATTGACGAAACTAAGAGGAAAGCTGAAGAACTTATCAAGCTGATGAAGAATCAAAGCAAACTTGCTGCGAAGAAATCGGAATATGAAAATGAGCTATTCAAAAGAAGCCAAGAGCTGGCTCTGCAATTAAAAGGCAAAGAACTAAGTGAAGAAGAGTTGAAAGAGAACTTTGATGGCCTTTGGAAGCGATGGATCTATGAAGTATCTTCAGATGCTCCTTCTGTTGAGGAACCTGACATCAATGTAGATGTAGAGAACATTATTCTGGAGCATTTTAAACAGGAGCCCAATATAGCAGGGAAAATTAAACATTTCTCCTGGAAAAATTCATTTTCTGTCGATATTTCTAAGCATATTACTATGAAGAAAATACTAGGCATCTTCGATAAGACTTTAGATAAGTGTGCTATAAGGAATATAGAACAAGTTACAGATCGCATCCTACAGCTTGTTGAGATGATCATTGATACGAAGGTGCAGCAGAGAGTGGATTACAATCAAAGTTACATTCACGAAATATTGAATGAAATAAGAAGAGAGGTGGACTCGGCAGGCAAGAGCTCAAACTACACATTTAATAATGAGTACAAAATGGAGTTATCATTGTATCTGTGCAAAATGGCAGTGGAACGGTTCCAAACCATGCACACGACATTCAAGACTGCAAACGATCCAACCGTCTACCTCGACAAGAAAAGAGACGATTTCTTCAAATGTTTTCAAATTTCCTGCCAGGGAGCAACCTCCATCACAACGTTTGCCGATTTCTTATGCCACAAGCTTGCTGCAGCGATCCGCCAGGCAGTCTACGACAAGGCTGCCATTGCCCTAGCCAACGAGATGAGGTCTAACTATTCGGCCTTCAATGGCAATAGATCCAAACTGGAAACCAGTATTCTGATATCTCTGGCGGAGGAGGAAAACTTTGAGAAGTACAGACAATACATTCATTTCCCAAGGGCCTTCTTAGAGAGTTACATCAAGAAATGCGTTGATGATTATTGTTTAGACAAGAAAAATCCACGACTGAAGCATTGCTTAGATATTACCCTCGATACTTTCCAGAACCGGGTTCTTTTAGCTATTTATGACTCGACGAAAGTTGTCAAAGATAAATATGGCAGTGTATCTTTGTGGCTGGATGAATTTTGCAAGAGATTTGGAGATGACTTAGACCTTCCCCGAAGTGATCTGAAAAGCATTGAACATCAGGAGATCAAGGACATCGAGTTTCTGAAAGAGGCCATGATTAAAGCTTTGCTGCCAGTCCTGGACAACCTGAGACAGGAATTTGCTGTGGTTGATATGAAGGCTCTTAAACAGAAACCTCATCAAATGTTATTTGACCAGCTTTGCGGGTGTTGGGAGCAGTGTCCCTTTTGCAAGGCTCTTTGCACCAACACAATCCCAGGGCACGACGGGGACCACAGCGTCCAGTTCCATCGCCCTCAGGCCCTGAACGGAACCCAGTGGTATGGAACAGACCAGCTTGTCATCGAGATGTGCTCCAGCCTTGTAGCAAGCGACTGCCTCATGGTGCTTTGTGAGAACAATCAAATTCCATATAAAAGTTACAGGCAAGCGGGACCCGCATATGCCAAATGGAGCATCAGGCCAGACAACTCAGCACAGTCTTACTGGAAATGGTTTGTGTGTCATTTCAGGTCAACACTGGAAGAGGATTATTGTGCAAAATTTGAGGGCAAAGGAGCTATCCCTCGGGAGTGGGAAGAGTTTAGTAAAGGGGCTGTCATCTCTGAGCTGAAAAAGCTGTAACCTGAATATAGCATCCCTTATATCAAATGGGGCCACGAATATACCAGACCTCACGACTCTCGCTAGTCACTTTATTTGATCAGCCATTTATTATTGTGCTGTTTAGCGTTATGGATATTTTAGATGCTCTCTCTTATATAATCAGTCTATGTTAGAAAATACAGGACTATAGAAATGTAAGATTAACAAGTAGGTAGAAGTGGGGTGTATTAGCTATATACGTAAGGCATGGCTAGTATGGAAAAGCTACAGGTGGAGAACTGTTAGGGTGTGTCTACACAGCACCGTTACTTCAAAATCAGCTTTGTAGCTTATTTCGAGGTTATTTCGAAATAGCTTATTTCGAAATGTGGCGCTGTCTACGCTGTGCCACATTTCAAAATAAAGCGCTCTTTCGAAAAAGCCTTTAACAGGGATGCCGGAATAGCACGCCCATTATTTCAAAATATATTTCAAAATAACGGATGCGTGTAAAGATGCAGAATTGCTATTTCGGGATACTTTCAGTATCCCAAAATAGCCCCATGGTCTAGATGTGGCCTGGGATTTTAGCTTAGGAATGCTTGAACAAGTGGGTGTCTTACAGATACGCCCGTAAGGTCACATGTTTACTGTAAAAGCTGTGCCAATGGGTGATGATATGGAAACATGGATCGCAACAGACAGGTATGTCTTGTCCATGAGCATGAGACATTTGATGGTAATACTATGTTCTGATCACAGGCTGCCATGGACTTACATGTAGACATTAAGAGGAATGTTATTACAAATGGGGCACCCCCATATTAATGGGCTATGGACGTCCTGATAAGGAAAAGAGGGTTGAAACCTTCATGCACAGGGGCAGATATAGGGTAGGGCGAGCGGGGCGGCTGCCCCGGGCCCCGCGCTTCAAGAAGCCCCGCGCATGCGCCGTGGCAAAGGGGGGCCCCGCGAAATTGTGCTGCCCTGGGCCCCGCAAAATGGTCATCTGCCCCTGTTCATGCATGTGCGTCAGGTGTTAGGTGTAGTGAGAACTACAATGTATGAGAGGTTCCCTGTTTGGGTGAAACTAGGAAGACCCTCAGGAAACCCTAGCAGGCACCATTCCTCTATCAATACTTGTCTGTTGAGATATCCATCAGACCCGAGGGCAGGGCTGGGCAAGATGCGGCCCAGGGGCTGGATCCGGCGCACCTAATCCGTGGATCTGGCTGCAGACTGCAACTGGCCGCTTTCTTTTTATATGCTGTGGCCCCTGCCACTGAATTTCCAGGCAATGGCTCAGGCCGCAAGATCCTATTTAAATGGCTCACAGCTCCTGGTCGCAATCCCTTTAAATCATGGGTTCCCAAATTGGGGGGCATGAAGAAATTCCAGGGGGTGGGGCCACGAGGCGACCCAGCCACACACACTCTCGTCAATAGCACCCCAAGTTTTGCTGCTATTTTTGGGGGGGGGGGGTGGGAGGGTTTCTCAAAATCAAAAAGGGGGTGTGATGCTGAAAAGTTTGGGAACCATTGCTTTAAATAATTGCAGCAATGCCGGGCGGCTGCCAGGCCATGCGGTAGCAGTGGGGCCAGGAACCACAAGCCTTTGCTGTATTTTTAATTCAAAACCTTGGGCCCCAGACAACTCTCTGGGGTGGCTAGTACCCATCCCTGCCCCTTCCTCCCCAAGCCCCGCTCCTTCCAGCCTGTGACCACACACCAACATAAGAACATAAGAACGGCTATACTGGGTCAGACCAAAGGTCCATCTAGCCCAGTATCCTGTCTGCCGACAGTGGCCAGTGCCAGGTGCCCCAGAGGGGGTGGACTGAAGACAATGATCAAGCGATTTGTCTCCTGCCATCCCTCTCCAGCCTCTGACAAACAGAGGCCAAGGACACCATTTTATCCCCTGGCTAATAGCCTTTTATGGACCTAAATTTATTAAGTGGTCCCCCTGCAAAAATTATTGCCCACCCCTGCCCTAGAGTACCTTTGAGGATGTGAGTATGGCTACGGGAGTGGTTATTTACATGGGATTCTCTAGCATTTAGAGACGGATGGGTAACTGTAAGTTTACTTATTGCATTAATTAAACATGCAGTACAGATAAGACGTAGAATTTGTGATTATGTTCATGGCCACTCCCCTTGGTCTTCATGTGTGCCCGGAGGCTCCAGAACTGAGGAAAAAAATTGTCATTCTTCACTCGATTGAGCTTGAAATTGGAGCAACAGGAGCTGAGCCCATTGTAGCGTGATAGAAAATTCAATTTAAATGCAAAAAAAAGGAGCTGCTGGAACCATTCTCTTGGCTCAGCTTCACCGGCATTCAGAGCCTCTTGCTGATGTCTGGGCATGTGCCCGCTTTGTCCTCATGGAAAATAAAGCAAATTCAATACCGCAGAACTTGAACGCTTCTAATTTTGATGATAAAAGTCATTTTATGGTATTATTAGAATGGGGCTCCGTTGTGATGGTTGGGCCTAAAACTTGTAAAAGTCACGTGACAGTCCATGTTCTATATACATATATCATTTAGGGTATGTCTACACTACCCTCCTAATTCGAACTAGGAGGGTAATGTAGGCATACCGCACTTGCAAATGAAGCCCGGGATTTGAATTTCCCGGGCTTCATTTGCATAAACCGGGCGCCACCATTTTTAAATCCCGGCTAGTTCGAACCCCGTGCCACGCGGCTACACGCGGCACAGAGTAGCTAGTTCGGATTAGGCTTCCTAATCTGAACTAGCTGTACTCCTTGTGGAATGAAGAGTACA